GCGCGGGGGGGCTGGGGGCCCTGTATGGGTCTCGGGGGAGCAGGGGGGCTGTGGGGCTGTGGGCCTTGTGTGGGTCTGGGGGGAGCAGTGGGGCTGTGGGCCTTGTGTGGGCCGTAGGGAGCAGTGGGGCTGTGGGCCTTGTGTGGGGCTGGGGGGAGCAGTGGGGCTTTGGGCCTTCTGTGGGGCTGGGAGGAGCAGTGGGGCTGTGGGCCTTGTGTAGTGTTGGAGAAGAGTGTGGGGAACAGTGGAGCGAGGGGTGAGTAGTGTACTTGTGGGATTCTGAGGAGGGAGCAGCAGGGCTGGGGACACTGCATGGGGTATAGGTCTCAGGGCTGGGGGTTGCATGCAGGGTTTGGGTTGTGCAGTGGGTTTGGGGGAGAAGGCATTGGGGATTTGGTTGAGTGCTTGGGAGGTGCATTTGTGGGGAACAGGAGGAAGGGTCTGAGAAGGGATGTACTGAAGATGGGAGCATGTATTTGGGTTTCTGAAGTGGTTTGGAGCTTCCTTGGGTGAGGGATGGCGATGAGGGCCTTGACTGGGGTAGGTCATGGGAAAAGAGAGTGTGTGTTACTCAGCAGAGGGATTCTCACAGAGGATGGGAGACTGGAGTTTCCCCTCCTTCACTGGATGCACAGTGTCTGCCTTCTGGCCTGGAACTCAGGGTTTGAACGTGATCAGCGCTGGCCAGAGTGAACCTGTGTTCTGGTCTACAGGCTGGATGGGTGCTGTGTATGTACCCATGAACTGCACAGAGCAGAGGCTCCTCTTGCCCTTGCATAGCCATGTGTTAATCACAGTCTGTGAATCTGCCGCTTACTGTCTCTGCTGACACAGAGTCTAACACCAGTTACAGCAGTTGTTTATGTGGGAGAGTGGCATGAAGGAAGTACTTGGATGTTTAGCTATCGAGATAAGTGTCTGGTGTCTAGCCCTGTGCAAAGAGGAGTTCCTTTTGCTTTTTACTGTCACTTTGCTGCTGAGCCCCCTCTTCTGGACCTAAGGAGCACGATCAGCTCATCCACAAGCATTTGATGGACCTGACATTGACCAGTCCCTACTCTAGCACTTGTAAAGTTTAGTAAATGCTCCATGTCTTTATCTACAGTTCTTTTAAACCTGTATATATCTATATGATTGAGTCCGGAGCAACAGGGGAATAACATCCTTCCTGTGTTCTGCGCTGACAACCAAGCTATTGCTTTTGTCTTGCAAAGAAGTGTTGTTTTTCATGTGGTTCCAGCAAGACATATCTCTTTTAGCCCTTATTGCTTAGGGGTTTTAAACACACAGTGAGCTGACATAAAATGTTGAAAACCTGAGACCTCGAAATACAAATAATTTCTTAATCATCTGTGTGTGTCAGTAATACATTACTTTGGTCTGATTGGTCTATGTTTACATCTGCTTCCAATCTTAGAGATTCAAGCTTGATGATTTTCCAGTCACCTTGATTTGGTAGTCAGCATTTCTTTTTCATCAACAGCTGAAAATAATACTGATTAAAGTGACATAAGATTTGTGTGGGATGGAGGGAGATTGAGGTCTGTAACAAAGAGTGGCAGAGATCCTTATTGGGGAAGAAACCTTGCTGTATGTTTAATTGGTTGATTAGGGCTTCCCTGCAATTGAACCTCAACTGAAGCTTGTTACTGCAGGAAATTCTCAAGCCTAAGTGTATGCTACAGGTAGTTGCTTCCTGTTTGATTGTGAAGTTAGCAGAACTTGGAGATTGGTTTTGTTGAAGCCCGTCAGAATGACTTCGGCCAGCCCTCGCTCTCCGTCTCTCCATACTCCTCTTCCTAGGCTGTCATCTATTAGTTGGTTTAGACTAGAAGAGGAAATTTCTGAACAACGTTCCCTGCCTTAGGAGAAATATTTTAACACTAATCAGCTTTTAATTATATGTATCAGTTTCTCTATGCTTAACAGCATTTTTTTTTTTGTTCAGGGAGCTTCTTGGGCTTGCATGGCAGAGCAGATCCTTACTTTGTTACGTTGGAGAATCTGCAGAACCACATACCTGTTAAATGAAGGAGCTTAGCCATATGCAGTATTTCATGGAAGTAGTCTTCTTAAATGCTGTTTGCATATCTTGGAAAAGAGTTTGTGATTGTACTTGGAACTCCTTGCAGAGTTCCTGGCTATATTTATAAAGGCCATGCACTGAAAAGGAGTTTCTCTCCATTGATATCCAGTATCCACTTTTATTTTTAAAACGTGATTGTGTATTGCCAAGTGAAATACCTGATGCATGGAATTGCTGGTGGAAAAACAAATTTGTACTTTGCTTTGTTTTGAAATAGGCAGAACTTGGGCTGGAGGGTTGGTTTTTCATCACCTTTATTGAATTTAGCCCATGCACTCAAAAATCAGTGCCCTGACCTGTGGTCTGCAGATGCTTAGGGATCATAGACTACTTCTGAAGGGCTGTCAAAAAATATCTGTGAAAAGCAGTCTTGTTGTCAGGTGCTGGGAGGTGACTACAAACAATTCACTAAGGATTTTCCAGGGTGAATGGATGGTAAATTTTCCCTTTCTTCCTATGCCCCCTTTGGGTTTCTCCTTCCAGAGAAACTTCAGAGCACTTAACATCAGTCAAAAGAAGACTCCTGGTGCAGATGCAAATACTGGGTTTGCCCCCAGGCGGCCCTTCTTGCTCCTGAATGAGCTCCATGAATAGAGAATGTAACAAATTTGTACTGTACCTCTGGCTTTGAAGTTGGGCTCTTCCTAATAACATCCTCCAACGCTTCCAGCTCTTTGTGTGAACGTATGTACTGATATGTAGATTGTGATACAAGGTCAAACCCTGCAACAGCCCAGGCTGTGGGTGGGAGGAGGTACCACAACAGGCATCAGCAGCACTCAGCTAGTTAGTGTAGCAGTGAAACCTGCCACCGAAACTGGATAAATATCTGTGCTGACAAGCCTTTCCTGAGTGTTATTACCATGGGTACGTTACTAGCTGTGCTACAGGTAGTTGCTTTAAAGCTAGTGCTTGGGTATTTCCCAGAGAGGTTTGGCCTTTGCAGAGGAGCATGGGGCTGCTGGCAGAAGTAAGGGAAAGGTGTCTGGCTCTCCTGGTGCAGTCTTGGCAGGACTTGGTCACTGCCTGCATCAGTCCTGACAAAGGCATTTGAATAGTCCTGAGGAGGAGCATGCCCATGGAGCAGCCCCTGCCCTGGAAAAGGACAGTCTGAGGGTTTGTCTTGCATGTTGTCAAAGTGCCTGCCCCAGCAGTGTTCCAAAGCAAAAAATTTGACATTTGAGGTGTTATTAAACCCAGTTTGGAAGCAAATTATTTGCATGTGGGAGATTATTGTAGTTTAGCAGGTGGAGGTGTTTCCCCTTCATTATGGATGTGTAGACATTTGTACTGACCACTTGCTAATCTCTCAATGGTTTGCTGGTCAGTGTATTGACCTCACTTGCTTTGGAGTCCTCTCAGGTAACTTTGAATAATTGTGCGCTGCTGCTTTTCACAGTCACTCTTTGGGAACAAGTGACTATCCCAGCTGAAATTGCCTCCATCTGACTGCTTCCATCACAGATCTGGGAGTTATTGCTGCAAGGAGCCTGAGTGCTGGCTGGGACATCAGTGCAACACTCAGCTATAGCCATCTGAATGTTTATCTACAGCAGACATCTCAAACTGCCTCCAGCATGGTGCTGGTGAGGAGGAATGGGAAGGCAGGTGGAGATGTGGTGTGTCTGGGAGACTTTTGTTTTCTGAGTGTTTCAATCTATTGCTAGACTTCAAGGAGGATTTTCCCAGGCTGCCACTGAGGATCAAACTCTTCTTCATCCCAGGGGCTAACATACCTTGCCCATGCTGGCTCACCAGTTTGCTTTTTATGCTGTAAAGATGACACCTGTCATATGAGAATGTTGTCAAATTCCGACTTAACCCTCACCAATAGACCTCAGTGCTGTTACTGGGGTTGGGATGCTCACCCCCTCTGTCCTGCTGTGATGTCCTGGCCTGCATCCTTGACTGAGCTGCTGGAAAGCCAGAGCTGGCCTGGAGCTACTGTGGTGGTCTTATGTGACTTCACTGGATGGAAGCTGTCCTAGGGAAAGTCACTCATGTTAGAAAAACCCTGCTCTGCTTTTTATTTCCTGCAGCAGTGGGAGAGAGGCAGCACAGCACACCTTTGGGCTACCTCCACAAGCCTTTTAATAAAATGAGCTGATGTAGTACTTTGTACAGACTTGGTAAGGTTGGGCAGCAGGAGGTGGACAGAGGACTTCAAATAGTATGTCATTGTCACTAGGGATCTGCATAGAGTATTTAAGTGCCTTCTGGAAACAAAAGGAAACCTGCTGTCATGACCTGTCCTGGCACCATCTTTCCTGCAGATAATAAACTCAGAAAGTGCCCATATGCATTAACTCTCCTCAGACCTCACCCTGAAAAGCACCTCCTTACAGGTGCTTTGCATTTCAGCTCCACCAAATGCTGGCTTCTCATCAGACTAATGAGCTACCAGCAAGGGTTGGATCCATCTATTCAGCCATGGTGAGTTCTTCTCTGGAGAGTCTCCCGTGGAGATGACCAAGTGCTGCAGTTCTGTGGCAAGGCTGATGCAGAATTTCCAAGTTACTTTTTAACACCTCTGTTCTACATGCAGATGAGAGGAACTGGTGTGTAGTAACTAGTTTGAATGAAGTGGGTCATCTTAGATTGGATTTTCTTGTTTGGAGCAGGGGAGAGTATTTTCCTTGAAGAAAAAGTGAATTGGAGGCAGGAACCAGTTAATCACCTGCTCACAGTATTCCATAAATGCTTGTGGTAGGTGGTTTGATGTCTCTTTTTGCTTGCTTCTACCAGTGTGTTTTGTGATTGACGGGGTGAGCAGTGAGCAAAACAGTCTAGCACATTCCTCTGGCACACCAGCCAGAGGCTTCCTTGGCTTTGTAACGGGAAGGGTGGCTGCAGGTTGTGGTGATTCCTGCTTAATGTAGTCTGGCTGTGCTACCTTGACTCTGCAGTAATGTTATTTTAAGGAACCCATTCTAATGCTGAAGCAGAGGCTGCAATGATGCTTTTTACTTGTTCTTGATTAATGCAGTGAGTGTATTTTTCAAGTTCTGGTACTAATTTTTTTGAATCAATATTTTTCTCCTCCACTGTTTTAACTGTCATATTTATGTTCAGAGGTAGGGATTACTGTCCTCAAAACTTAGCCATTTCAAATTCTGCTTTGAGGAACAGCATCAGGGTTTTTTATTATAATGGAGGCATTTGCCTCTGGCCTGAATTACAAGCTTGCAGTGCAGATACAGTTATTGCTCTTTTACTAGTACAGTTTGCCATTTTTTCTTTGTGTTTTGTGGAAACTCTAATAGGATTTTCTGGAGGTTTTTATGCTTTTAACGTTAAAAACATTGTAGTATGTTGCACATATGCACTTTGCCTTCCTGTGCTGGAAGCTTTCTGGACTCAACCCAACTTTTCTCCTAATTTTTTTTTTTTTTTTTTTTTTTTGAGACAACTCAAACACCTTAATTTCATTTTTGTTACTATTTATGTTTTGAAACAGGTCTTTGTACAGCCCCCCCTGTAGCACCTGTGGAGACTTCCCATTTGTCTTTAACTTACCTAAGAATCTTTCTGGTTTTGATACAGGTTGGGAGGACCTGATCCTCTGGACTATGTTAGCATGTATAGAAACCTGGGAAACCCAGCACTGAATGTTCCTGAGCACTGGCACTACGTCAGCTTTGGATTAAGTGACTTGTATGGAGACAACAGAGTACACGAGTGAGTGTCATTTCAGTTCTATTGCTTTTTGTGTTTTGTGTTGCATTTTGGGGGAACCCTGTCTTGCCATTGTTGTTATTTGAAAAGCTTGTTTTCCTGCTTAGAATACCTTAGCCTTGGTCTTGCAAGGAGTGACGTATGCCTGTTCCTGGTTGTAGAAGAAGTATGATGTTTCCCTTCTTCAGGCTTTGCATGCAATATATTTCCTCATTAGTGTTAAGCTATTTTATTTTTTCTTTTTTATAAACTGGTTGTGAAACTTTTCCTTAATGGAATGTTCTGTTGTGTTTTTCACTCTTGGTAGTCTGTTGTGGTCATATGCTTAAATCCTGACCCCTCCCTGTGCATGTTAAATGCCTTCCTCTGGAAAACTGCTGTAAGGGCATTTTTCCTGTTGCTGGCGCAGCAGTGTTAATGTCAGCAGATTGCCACCCCAGTGGCTGCTGTATAAGGTGCCAATCTGTGTAACAGAAGCATAACATTCTAATTGTTTTACTGTCTTCTCTCCAATAATTAAATTATTATCTTAGCTTGTTGGTGCAGATGGTCTTTAGTAGGCATTTTGTATTAGACCTAGCAAGCAGCATGATCTAACCTTGTTCTTGTCTTTCTTCTACTGACTTTGCTTCTTAACTCCAGTTCAAGTGAGTAGCAGGAGCCAAGATGTCATCATCTTGAGGCTGTGAACATGGCCTTTTAACCAGCCAGAAATGGCAGGTTTCTGCTGCTGTTTAGTCAATCTGTTTTTGCACTGTTTCCTAGTTGCAGGGTACATGCCCTTGAACGGCGCAGAAAGGCCCCGGTTTGTTCACACAAGCTTTCCCTCTTTTGTTTGCCTTGGTTAAGGGTCAGCCACCATTTTTATTTTTATTTTTTTACCCAGATGTTTCTCTTGCAACAGCAGCAGTCAGGCCGTTTCTTTAACCTTACCTGTGATCTCCAGGCAGTTTCTCCTGGGTTTTTGATCTTGTTTTTTTCTGGTGTGTTTTTGTTTTCCTGTTTGCGGTTACAGAACTTTTTTTCAGAAGACACATCTCTCAAGACTGAGGCTTATACAGGACACTAGTGTCACAGAGATCTGTCTGGAGCATTTAACTAACACATCTACTAGCAACAAACAACAGTAATTATTTACTGGGGCAGAGGAAATGTAGGGCAAGTGAAATAAACTAGGAGAAAGGAAGTCAAAGGCTTCCCTTGCTTCCACAAGAGACCCTACCATGGACATGCAGGCCTTTATGTGGTGCCTTTGTTCTCAGATAATGAGATTTCACCTTTGTCTTTGAAAAATCTAAGGTTGCCAAGATTGAGTGACCTGGGTTTGTCCGCTTCATTTTGCTGGAATTGAATTTTGGTGGAAGTAAGTGTAGTCTTTCTCTCTTTGGTGACTTGTCAGCCTGTGGATTTTCCGTGGTGAGACTTTTCTCCTTGCGGATGGTTTCAGGTGAAAGCAGGAAGTGAACATAAGGGTCTCAGCTCAAGACACAAAGGATGATGTGTTTTTATGAATGAAGAAGTAAATTACGTAGGGAGACAATTTTCTTGGCTCTGGCCCATGCTCTGGCTTCTCGCTCCCAGAACCTGTCTGCTAGACCAAAAACTGTTGTTTTCATGTGCTATCAGAAAGGCTGGCTCTGCCTTTGTGGTGAATAGTCTTAATATGCAATTAGACCTGTGGCAAAGCTGTCAAAACCTGCATATCTCTTAAACACTGAACCTGAAGTTGCCACCTGGTAGGTGAGCACTTTAGATAGAGAGATCTTCAAAGGAGATCAGCACCCACCATCAATTCTTGCTCCCAATGGAAGGTGCTGTTTGCTAAGCACTCTTAAAACACCACTGCCACACAAGCTACACATCATCAGATGCTTATTGCAGGAATTTAGGGATTTTCCTGCATGTTCCATAGGCTTTTGTTCTCCATCAGGGAATTTAATAAAGCCTTTCTTTAAGAAAATGAGTATCAGTCTCTCTGTTGCTTGAAGGACTGTGGAATTCTGCTGTCCCAGGTAGAATATGCCATGTAATGGTTGGCAGGAGCATGTGATGGCAGGGGAGTTGTTTCAATCTGTCGAATAATTCCTCCAGTTGAGCTCTCCTCAACTACCGTGGTCTCTGGAGATAGGGGTTAGTTTGTGAGGGTTTTGTTTCCCAACTCTCTCCGCAAGGGTAGCAGAACTGGACCTGTTTGTGTCAGATGGGAAGATTCCTGCATTACAGATGTGCTTCCATAACCTTGCTGTCCTTCATCCTTTAGAAGGGAAAGGATAATACACTACCCAAGGCCTTTTTAGTTTCCCAGCTTGACTCTGGATAACACATAGTTTATTTCTCATGGACCTCTTCTGGTAATACAGTGCAATCCAGACCAATTATAGTGCAGTATTCAATGAAAAGGACTTTTTGATTTTGAGCAAACCAACACTGAATTGGAGGCCTCTATATTGTTATTTATGATGGAATAGCAAACAGATGTAGCAAGTAATGTGAAAATGTTGACTTTAATTTATATTTTTTAATAAGAACCTGAAAAGTCTAAAGTGGAGCTTTCTCTGTGCCTCCTTGTTGACAGATTTATTTCCAGTTAAAGCAGCACTATTTCCTGCTCTGCTTAAGTATCAGCTATGCCCTGCTTACAGAACTGCTCTGGTTTTAAGAGTCCACAAAATAAGATGGAAGAAATCTAAGAATTTCAAACAGGGAGACCTTTTTCATTTAAAACTACTCTATTTCATGGCATAATGGCAACCATGACACCAGCTGTGCTGTGCTGGTCGCTCTAAAAATCCTAAATCATGATGTCATGAAAGCGTTAGGGAACCACAGGTCTTTCGGTGGGATTTCACGCCAAGTTGCTTGCGTGGAAATAAGTCCCTCCAGTTGAGCATGTTGCACAGCTTGAGTGACAGCAGAAATGCTTCCGGGACATTTTTCCTAAGTTTTTCTCATTTTAAAATTTTTTTTCCATCTACTTAAAAATCAAAGCCAGTTTGTAACTTCTTGAATCTA